GGCCGTCGAGGTGGAGAAGGAGAGCGCGGATGAGAGTGGGTGAGTCGGCGGCGGCAGAGCGGGGCCGGAGCGGGCGGCGAGCGCGGGCCGGCCGCGGTGACAGCGGGGGAGGGCCGGCGCCCCGGTGTCCTGCCTTCCTTCTGCCCATCCCTTTGCGCGGGACCCCCAGGCGCTGTCAGGCCCAAGTTGCCAAAACAGTCTGAGTGCGGGGAGAGCGTGGGGCGACCCTCCAAACCCCGACCCTCTCCTAACGGCGATTCCTGTTTGTTTTTTACAATCATTCAGAAACTTGAGTTCGGCCCTAGGTTGCATGTCCCCAGCTACGTCTTCGCAGATCCTGGCCAGGAAAAGACGGAGAGGCGTGAGTCTTTTTACATTGCTCTTAGAAAAAAATTAACGGAAAGAACCACCTCTTCACTTTGGGATTTACAGCCGTAATGGAAGTGTCCTCCTTTGTTTTGCCTGCTTTCTGCAGATCATTGAGAAACGCCGGCGAGACCGGATCAATAACAGCTTGTCTGAGCTGAGGAGGCTGGTGCCCAGTGCTTTTGAGAAGCAGGTAATGGAGGAAGTAGGTAGAGCGCCCAGGGTAGCCACCCTCACCCCAGTCCTTCCCGGTCATTCACTTGAACCCCATCCGTGTCTGGGAAAATAACCGTGTCGCTTGTGCCGGGGAGAATTCATACGGACCCAACACACTTTTGGAAGACAACTCGTTTTGCCTTCGTCTGTCCTGTTGGGGTGCACACAGCGCAGATATGCATATGCATTTTAAGTTGCTCCCCACGGGCACGTGGTGCCGAGTCGATCTTTTGCTGTTCCCTCCCCCAGGGGTCTGCTAAGCTAGAGAAAGCCGAGATCCTGCAGATGACGGTGGATCACCTGAAAATGCTGCACACTGCCGGAGGGAAAGGTACGCGTGCCTGGCCCCTGCCTGGGCGGGAGTTGGGGGACGGGGCCCAGTTGGGGCAGATGGAGCCACTGTGCAGGCCAGGGTCTTTGCAGCCACTGCCTTGTTTTTACCGTGTGCTTTGGGGGTGGGGAGGGACCCCTGCGAGGTGTGTGCGGTCGCCTGTCTGTCCGTTTTGAAATGCAGAGGTTTTTCCCCATTGGATTCATTGCCCCAACCCCCTCCCCGCACATTAGCACCTTCTCATGGGAAATGCCTGTTCTGTGCGAAGTGCCCTGAAATTGTGGCAGCCCTGCAGAAGGTGAGGTAGCTCCCTCCACATTTGCGTATTGCCATTTTGAGAAGAGAACTTTTTAAAAAGTATATGGTGTTAATTTTATATACAGAATTTCAAAATAAAAAAAAGAGCCGCCACATGACTCTTGAGGCAAGAAACCTGTGTGGTGAAGCAGAGCAAACCTGAGGGAAGGTGGGCGCCAGGGTCTGTGTGTCTGTCTCCAGCGGGACCGAGTGCCTGCGAGCTGCAGAGCTTACATCTGCGTGTCTAATGCATTTCGCTGCTCTGTGGTTTCTCTGCCCTTGATGTATTTTTTTGTTGTTGTGGAGGGAAAACATGAAAGGAACGAACGAGCATAGTTTCATCTGCCGGTAGGGTAGAATTCTAATTTCTGCTCGGCGGCTTCTAATTGGGCTTTGAACTCGCATTAGCGAACACATACGTCTCCTCTTGGTTAAGGCAGAGATTTTGGTCGACTCCAAACTATTTGGACTTTGAGAAGAGCCCGGGAATGCGGTCTTTTCAGGACGTAGGTCTCTGCTGGGAAGGGCTGCCGCCGGGATTGAAGGAAGGCGGGCCCCCGCGAGCAGAGCCTCGAGGTGTTTCTTTTGTTCTCTGCCCCAGGCTACTTCGACGCGCACGCCCTGGCCATGGACTACCGGAGTTTGGGGTTCCGGGAGTGCCTGGCAGAGGTCGCCCGCTACCTGAGCATCATCGAGGGGCTGGATGCCTCCGACCCGCTACGAGTCCGGCTGGTATCGCATCTTAACAACTACGCCTCCCAGCGGGAAGCGGCGAGCGGCGGGCACGCGGGCCTCGGGCACCTTCCCTGGGGGAGCGCCTTCGGACACCCTCCGCAGCGGCTCATCCCGAGGCGCCCACCCTGCGGGCGCCCCCTAGCGGTGGCCTTGCACCGGTGCTCCCCGTGGTCACCTCCGCCTCCAAACTGTCGCCACCCCTGCTGTCCTCCGTGGCCTCCCTCTCCGCCTTCCCCTTCTCTTTCGGCTCCTTCCACTTACTCTCTCCCAGTGGGCTGAGCCCGTCGGCACCCACGCAGGCAGCTAACCTCGGCAAGCCCTATAGACCGTGGGGGACGGAGATCGGAGCCTTTTAAAGAACTGATGCTGTAGAAGGAGGGAGGGACCGCTTACAATCCCAGCTGAGCTGGCGGTTGCCGACATCACCTTAAAGTCGTCAGTTACAATAACGAGGAAACAGGTACAATCCCAGATAAATTCTGTTGAAAGACGAAAGGTTTGTTGTTTTACCTTTTCTTTCTTAATGTTTTTTTTTTTTAAATCATGACATGTATTAGCAGGTTTTAAATTTTGTTCCAAACATTAAATGGAAATAGTGTAAACCGACACTTGCTGATAGGTTTGTACTGTGCCTAATTTACTTTGTAAACCTATTGGTCTACGAGTGGTTCAATTTTTGCCTCAGAGTTTGGGGAATTCTTAGTATTTGGGGGCTGTGTTACATTCTGTTTTTAGAATTAATTTTCCAAACCACTATGCTGAATATTAACATGAAGCTGTCTGTTAATACTTTGACAATGAAGGTGTTGTATAAATAATATTCTTTTTTTGGGGGGGGGATATTGGATTTTGTATTTCTGAGCAAAGCGATTGACAAATCAGATGATCAGCTTTATCCAAGAAAGAAGGCGAATTCTCTGTCTCCGACGGCAGGAAAAGTGGTTGTACAGAGTCCACCAGTCGCCCTGAGTTCATGACCAGCCGTCTGCCGGACCAGACGGGCCATTCTGGCTTGGTCAGGAGGGAGCCCCCTGCGGTGGAGGCCCCTGTTGCAGTTGGCTGGGAGGAGATGAGGATAATTGCATAGACTATCCTGCATTTCCAGCCCCGAGCCATGTGATGCATTTTAATCTCCCAGATCTCCCAGATGCTAACACGGAGAAGTGCACCAGGTGGCCCAGTGGTCCGGTGGAACGGTCCGGTGGAACCTGTTAAAGGCATACCCTCATTCTTCCAGGATTGGCCATATTTTCTTCTCACTGGAAGCTTTTATGTTGCTTTTTCCTTTTTTTGGCGCATGCAGATGTGGCTGTTGAGATATTTAAAAGGGCTTTGCTGCCTCCTGTTTTTATTTCTTTGGACTCGGGCTATGACAGGTTTATTCGTTTAGCAGGAGTAGCTTGAACACCGCCACCGAGCTGGGCTGGACCTCTGTTGTACTGATGTGTTGTGACTCAATAAAAAAGAGGGAACAAACTATTCTGCTGTGTGTCTTGCACCCCGTGGCCTTTCCCTCTGTTGGCTAAGAAAAGATACATTTTCTCTTGTTGGCATTTTTCACAATCACCAGTTTAACACTTTCATCTCCTGTGGAATTCTAAACTGCGCGGGTCTGTGCTGTTGAGGGAGAGGACGTCATGGCCAGGCAGGCTTTGGCCTGTCTCCCACCAGGGGGCAAGGCCCTTTGGCCGTTATGCCCCGTGACCTGGCCCTGACCTGGCCGTCTGTGGACCAGACACCTAGGTATCAGGCTGGCGGTGCAGGTGGGAAGGAACTCTGATGAAATCTTATAAAACTGTGTTGACTGTTCCAGAAATATTTACTGAGAGCACCTCCTGTGTGCTTGGTCCCATGCTAAGAGAGCAGAACGTTTATTTCATTTCTTTCCTTTTTCTTAAAATGGCAAAATAAGGAAAGCCACGCGTGGCTCCCTCTGCGTGCCGGGAATCTGTGGCATGGTGAGCAGCGGCAGGCTGTAATTCTGCACCTGCACGGCTCCAGGAATCTTTCCTCCTCTTGTTTCCAGGGAATGTGTTTAACCCTTTAGCTGCATTTGACTCCTGAGCTGTGCAGTGAGGAAGCCGGAACAGGCAGCCATCTGGGCCCGGCAGAAGTGCCTTCCCATCGCCTTAAAAGTCTTCCTCCTGCCACTCAAGAGGGCTGCCGCCAGCTCACAGGGAGTTGGCCTTGATCCTGAGGGGGTGGGGAGTGAGGGAGGAAACCCACGCGGGCAGGTGACAAAGTAGAGCCCTCCTTCTCTTTGCCCAACCACCGAGTGCCTCCTCCCTGCCCGGCTTTAAAAAAATGAAGACTGGCAGCTCCTGCGGGATGTCCCTGCCTGCTTGCCACCGTCAGCCGTCAGCGCTGGGGCCAGCTCACAAGGCTTCGTCGCGACCAAGTCCTGACGTTATTACAAGACAGCCCTTTCCCAGAGGTCGTTTACGTCGAATTGTGGATGGTACCCACGCTGTTGGGTGCAGAGTCCTGCTCTTCCCTACCGGACAGCCCTGGCGCCGGTGTGCTGTGACCTCCCCGATGGTGAGCACGGCTGTCCAGCTTCGGACCCGCGGAAGTCGGGCCAGAACGAGGGCCAGAGGCTGCCAAGTTCTGCGCGGCCTCGGGCGCTCTGTTTAAGCCCGGCCTGCCTGTGGCTGACCTCGGGAGAGGACGGCATTGCGTGTGGAAGGAATGCTGGCCTGGAGGTCAGGTGGCTAAGGGCTCCATCTAGTTTTGTTTGGGCCATGAAAATGGGGTTGAGGAAGGGTGTGGGGCAATGGTTCCTAATTCTGTGCCATTCACGTTATTGCAAATTCGATCTTTTATGGGAAGTTTCAATGGTTTTATAATAAACGATTTTTACTGAAAAATAAAAAAAATAAAAAAAAATAAAAAAACGAAGACTGGAAGGCAAAGAGAAGTTTGGACCTTGAACTTGGGCAGCGACTTTCTCGGTGTGGCCTTGGCCCATGGTCCCTCTTGTGAACAGAGCTCTGTCTGAGGGCTGCCTGAGCCGTAGACACTTTCTGTCACAGTGTGTGATGCAAAGTGTTCTGGTGATTTCTGCCAAGTGCCAGTTTAATTTTAGTAACTGCGATTTCCAATGATGTTGCAGCATCACTGAGCAGCGTCGCCCAGACTGTCTCAGTGGCTCTGACAGGTACCCAGGTTAAGATGGCGGCTCAGGGTAAGGAAGGAGTGAAGCATGGGGCATGTTGCGCTTGTCACATCAATGTTTCACTTGTCATGGTTTTTTGTTGTTGTTCTTTAAGGGGGTGTGGAGGTTCATTTTCAAGATTACATAGTTTTTTCAAAGAAATATTTTGCTTTCTTTTTTAACTTTTTTCAATGACAGTTTGCATCCAATATTATTTTGTATTGGTTTGAGGTGTATAGGACAGTGGCTAGACAATCATACTCTGCAAAGTGTTACCCCGATATTTCCAGTAACTACCTGGCACCATACACAGTTATTACAATGTTATTGACTATACTTTGGTTTCTTTTTACATCCTTTCAAGGTGACAGGTGTGTGGAAATGGTGCAGGTGGAATTGGAGCTTCTGGGGAAACAGGATGGAATTATGACGCTAAGCCAGTGGTATGCAGAAAAGTGAACGTAGGAAAAGTTTCACTTCTATTCTGAATTGGCACATGAGAAAACATGCCCGCCCGCGCATCAGTGCCAGCACACTCTCATGTTATGCACACGTGTGTAATACTTCTGCCCGGGCAAACAGACATGCTTTAGGTGTCAATAGATATGCCTTGTGAGGAAAATAACATCCCTGCTCATAAAGAATCTTGAAAGGCCCAATTGATTACACATTTACTAGTATATATGTCTTAAAATGAATTAATATAATGGGCAGAATTCTTGCATTAAAAAAACCTCTAAGAAAAAAAGGCAAGAAATATCATTTCTAACGTATTCGCTATAGTTAAATGAAGATGCGAGCTCGGTTCAGGCTTGCTTTGCCTGCACAGTGAAATATGGGTGACTTCCGGTTCAAAGCCCTCAGGACACGTGTCTTCCCCGAGGCCTCCCAGCCCTCTGTCTGCGGCAGCACCGCAGCTCTGATGCCTGCATTATTCCAAGCATTATTCCCAGCGGTGGTTTGTAATGAGAAGCACCTCGGAGCTGATGTCCCCGAGACACGGCCTCCAACCAGCCATTCACTTCACGGTCAGAGCTCCGGGGAATGGGAGCGTCTTGGGAAGAGGGCCCGGATTCTGGTTCCTGCTTGGCTTTTACCTGATTGAGTGCCTTGGGGAAGTCATGCAAATTCTCTGGACCTGCTTCCTGCTTGTGGAATGAAGGGGTGGGACTAGATGAGGGCCCGGGGCACCCTCGGAGGGCCAGGCACTGAGGGGGAAGCAGCAGGGGATGGCTGGTGGTGCTGGCCCAGGGAGCACCTCTTCCAGCACCTTCTATCGGAAGACCAGATCTTCCAAGTTTTCAAGAGCGTCTCCAATTTTAGATCTTCAGGTGAAACTGTGTGATTTGTATAGTCGGTAGCTAACTTACCAAAACCTGTCTGCTGGCAAGACCGGGCCTCGGGCAGCCAGCTGTGGCTCAGCTCCTAGGACTGGCATCCAGTGGCTCCCTGGGGCCCAGAATTTTCTGACATCTTCGTCTGGCTTGTGCCTATGCTTACTGGATAAAATCAGGCCTGGCGGCGTATGCTGGAGGACCCTGTAGAGACAAGGGCAGAGGTTTTTGTAATTCTGTCTGAGCAGCCACATTTTCTGAAGCTGCGAGAAGCTAAATCATCCTTCTTGTTCTCAGTCCCGGTGGTCACAGACCCTCTTCTAAGGTGCTCTCCAGGTGGCCCAGGGTTCACGGTACGGAGGAGGCGCTGAGCCCCGCATCCTGACATGCAAGAGGGAGTGTGCAGCCAGCACGCCCAGGCCCTACCCAGCGCCTCCTGATTTCAGGAAGCGGGGAGTCCCACAAAGAGCGAGCTGTTTGAACCTCAGCTTGAAATCTAATGCGGGCCTGGATCCGGATGGTCTGCTCTGGGGAGGAGGCAGGGAGCGGAGGAAAGAAGGAAGGAAACAGGCCGGGCTGGCCTTTCCTGTGTTCTGCCTGCAGGTATCACCAAGCACTTGAGCCCAGCTGCTTCCCCAGGCCCGCAGCCCAGAAAGCAGGTCCACAGCTGCCCTGGGACACGGGCTGGGGCCAGGCAGGCTCCAGGTTTTGAGTCAATAGGCCGTGATGCTATCTCTGGGTCTTCAGAGTTATGTGCTCGGATGTCTCGCGTATTTACTGCGAAGTTAGTGTTTTTCATTGAGCGCTTTGGGTTGGGTTTTGACATAGACTTGAGTTAAAAGACTGTTCCTCCATTTGAAAACACGCAGTTGCCAGGTGGTCCGTGCCTCGATCTTGCAGAAGAGACTGAAAAATGCCGAACGAGGCAGAAAGAGATTGGCTGTTACCCTTGAGAGAGTTCATTGCTGAACATTGTCTGTGGTCACTTTTACTTTTTTAAAACCTCTCCCGGGGCATTGTTTTGTTTCTGGTGTGTAGGAATGTTCCCTAAATGCAGAATTGAATCCTAAAATTAAAGAATGACACAGCTGAGCCGTTGAGCACCCTCTTTGACCTCATCTCCTACCTCTTCCTTATTCTTTGCTGTGGCTGGAACATGCCAAGTGTGCTCTCACCTGCAGGCCATGCCACTGGCTTTTCCTCCACCTGGAAAGTTCTCAGCTGTCTGCTAATCTACTCTAATCTATGCTCTAGGGACTCAAAGGTCACCTTCCCAGTGTGGTCTTCCCTGACAACCCTAATTACCGAGTTCCTCCCTTTTTGTTTTTCTCTGTAGTACTTAGTCTTGTCTGGCAGACGTGTCACCAATGATCTATTTACTGCCTGTTTTGCCTGGTTTGTTCACTTCTGCAGCTGAGTCTCCTACACAGTGCCTATAGGAGGCACCCAGTAAACAGCCAGTGAATTTGTGAATGCAATCCACCCCTTTGTTACCACGAAGAAGCAGAGCATACCATATCCAAACACCCTCCCACCCCCAATCTTTTATTTTAAAAGCTATGAGGGAGGGTAATTTCATTTTCTCTTTACTATTATAAGATTCTGCTTAAAAAAAAAATCCAACTCAAATATGATTTTTCAAGTCTATTTCCTTTTTTTGCAAGTGCTTAGTGGGGGTGGAAGGGACATTGATCCTCTACTTTATGTTCCCACTAAAGGCCTGTTCTCCCTGATTTTTTTTTTAATCTTATCCCCTTTCTCATCTAGCCCTCCACCCCCCTCCCGTCTGACAGCCACCAGGCTGTTCTCTGTGTCTATGAGGTTCTGTTTTGTTTGTTGGGCTTGTTCGTTTATTTTGTTCTTCAGATTCCACATATAAGTAATATCTTCTGGCATTATTTATTTGACTTATTTCACTGAGCACAATACCCTCCAGGACCTGGAGTCTAGGTCTATCCATGCTGTCGCAAATGCAAATGGTAAGATTTCGC